CTTGATGACCAAAAAAAGGAAAAAAAAGTGATGAAGTACAGGTAGTCCTCGACTTACAACAGTTCGCTTAGTGACTGTTCGAAGTTACAATGGCACTGAAAAAAGTGTCCCCCAAGCACAGTGAAGCAAGACACCTGCCTGCCTGCCCGGCGGCGCTCTTCCTCCTGTTCAAGGTTTTTATTGTTGTGAGCATTTCTGTTGAAGATTGGCAGCGGGGTGGGGTGGAAGGTATTTAGTTTTTATTCCCCCCATCTGCTGGGTGGTTGCAGCAGGTTTTGGTCCAGTGGTTCTCAACCTGTGGGTCGGGACCCCATTTGGGGTCGAACGACCATTTCACGGGGGTCGCCAAACAACGCAGTCTGCCATTTTTTCCCCCTTTTCCTTAGCTGTGCTACTCCCTTTTATTCTATTGGCTTTTGAAAGCCAATAGAATAGACTCTCTTGAATAGAGTCTAATTCTATTAGCTTTCAAAAGCCAATAGGAATTGTCCAGGCTGTCTCTGCCCTGCTGAGCCCGCCAAAAGTCCCATTCTGCAAACGGTGCTGCACCAGTTGAGTAGTCCTCGACTTACGACCGGTTGAGTAGTCCTTGACTTACGACCAGTTGGGGGGTTGCGGCATTAAAAAGGTTGAGAACCACTGTTTTGGTCACTTCACATGACTCTGGGACACTGTGGCCGTCATAAATATGAATCAATTGCCAAGCATCTGAATGTAAATCACAAGACCCTGGAGATGCTGCAACATTCCAGCTGATCGGCGCTTCTTCTGGGCTCAGCAAAAGTGCCAGGATCAGCACCGAGCTCCAGTTGGAGCCTGGCACTGATCCTGGCATTTCCGTTGAGCTCTGACAGCCCTGCAGCTCCAGCCATCTCTCACTCAGGCTTGTGCGGTGCTGCCACCAGTTCAGCTCATTCCCCTCCCCCGCTACCACTTTTCTAGGATGGTCGCGTACCACCTGCCAGGTGCTAATGTACCACAGGGGGTACCCATACCATTGGTTGAAAAGCCTTGACCTAACCCAATCTCTCCCCCCCTTTTTCTGCTTTCTAATTGTTTTTTCCAAAATAGAATTACCTGGTTTATTAATATTTTTTGCATTTCTAGTCAAATGCATGGATAAAAAGGAAAAGCTACCTCTCTTGTTTTGTCAGCCCATGCTCTCCTCTTATCTTTTTTAAAATCCCCACCCATAGCTGAAATCATTCAGAAGAAATGCCCAGACATGAGCTATTCTCACTTGCCAGCATTTTGCTTATCTCAGAGAGAAACCTCTGACACTTCTGAAGCCAGCATCTTTTCTCACCTCTGAAATTAGACTTGAGTCCAGTTAGTGTACCCTTCATGCAGGCAGCTGCCTGTCCCAATCCCTCACTGTGTTGGACTTGGAGTACAACTGCTAGGAGGTTGCTGGGTCCTACAATGTGGCAGATGACTCAGGGCCCTCCAGTACATTGCCTTCTTAGGCTAGAAACACAATCTTACTGGGTCTACCCAACCACATCTGAACAGCTGCACCCAGAATTAGGCAAAGAAAGCACCGTTTGATCTTTTCTCAGCTCCATGATTTTAAGAATTCAAAAAGCATAAGCAAAACAGTATTGATAGGGACCCTCTATCTTCCCTGCCTTCTGACTGTTGGAGATTCATCTTACACTGACTTTCAAGAACCAAAACTCTGACCAAGCAGCAAAGACAAGGTGATTCCTTCCTTTTCCCTTTCTTACTTCAATTCAAAACATTGTCTCTGTTCATTTCTCCACAACTGAAAACTGTAAGAATGTCAGAGCTGCCCCAGTCTGATCCCTTAGGAAAGAAAGACCCTGGACTACATTTAGGCGAAGTGATAGGTTCTTTTACTAAAAGATGCTGGCTGCAATACAATCAGGCTTGAACTCACAAGACAGTACTAATGCTACAAATGCTACAAATGAAGAGCTCCCTTCCAGTATCTCTAAAAGGATATTACAGGTTTAAAATTATAATTAGAGATCACAGGAAATTATTTTTCCTATATGGATAAAGATTGGATTTATAGCTTATTTCCTAACTTGTACTGAGAATAAGGAATGTGGGATAGGGACTTCCGGTCCTGTGCAGTAGTGACTGGTTGCGGGCTTGCGGACTGCTGCACCCCCACAGCCAACTTTCGTCCTGCCACCCCGGAGAAGCAGCGAAGAAAGAAGGGTGCCCCAGCAACTCTGGAATGATGGCAGTTGTTCTGTTCGTTTTGGGGAAAGCCTTCTAATCTGACAGGAGAAAGGCTGTATTTCATCAATCAGCCCAAGCTACTTGCAACTGGAGTCCAAAAGAACTAACCAGCACTACAGTAAACAGCGTGCTTGAAACTGTGTGATGAATCTGATTTTCCCTTTTCTATTCTACACTACATTTCCTGGAAAAGATCCCCAAGAAGCAAAAAGTGAAGGAGGGGGACTTCCACCCCATCCTTATATATAATGGAAGTGGCGAATTAAAATTTCTATGGAGGATCAAAATATATGGTAGTGAAATAAATTTGTAAACTTGAAAGCTAAAAATTAACTTTGGACAAGTTTAAGATTGTTAAATGGTTAAGACTCTCATTTTAAAGACCATTGTTCAAATAGAAAACTAAATAGATGCTGACACCTAGTGATGAATGAAGATTATGACAGCTATGATTTCCATAGAGAACTTGCCAAAACCTGGGAAAAGCTAATCTGTGTTTGTGACCTTCAAAGCTTTAATAATAAAAAACAGCTGTGACAAAAAAAAGACAACAATCTGGGCTGCAGACAAAGAGAGAATTATAAACTTTAGGAAAAAAATCTATTTAACCGGGACTCTAAAGCTATTTGCAGATAAGAAGGAAAACTCCAACTTTTGGCCATCATGGGTCAGAGACATGTAGACAGAACACACCAAGAAAATATAAATACCTCTCAGGAGGAGATATATAGTATACTGAAATTAATTCAAATAACACTGAGTTCAAATCACAAAGAAATCCAAAATAACATTGAAAATACAAATCAATCTATCTCTAAGTTAACTTTACAACAAAAAGTCTTCCAGGAAACAACAACAGAAAAGGAGCAGACAAAACAAATAAGTGGACATAAAATTGAAAATAGAGACTCAAAAACAGAACTTAACAAAGCAAGAAAACGTGGTTTAATCCTAGTGGGGAAAAGTTTACAAGAAATGGAAAAAACAACTCATCCCTTAAGACTACAAAATAAATCTGAGGACAAAAAAACAGATTGGATAAAATGGAATGTAGAGATGTTGAAAACATCAGAGAGAAAGGAAGTGATAAGAGAAGCAAAGAAGGAGAAAGAGAAAAATATTTTCAAGAAACATGGAAAGGCAAAAGCCTCACATAAAGACACTTTATTCGATTTACTTCTTATACCTACAGCAACAGTCATGAATATATGGAAAACCTTTTTGATTCAGCAAAACACATTGATCGAGAAAGATACTGCTCAAAGGAAAAAGATTAAAGTGAAAATTAAGAAAATAGATGATGGGACCTACCAGAGAGAATATTTAAAAAAGAAACATTTGTTTGAATATGGTTAAAGAAATAGAAAATATTCTGAATACATATGTCATTCTAAGAGAGATGAATTCCTTAAATAATACTGTATGCTTTTTCCCCCTTTTTATTTTATTTCTTGATATAAGTTATATAATACTACTGAAATGGCCTAGATGAAGGAAATGTTTTAGATAATTAAATGTGTCTGAATTTCGGGAAATTATAATGTAGAAAAAATGTTTTGAATAAGAGTTAAAGGATTAGATGACTAGGCACATTAAATGGAATATTTAAAGATTAAATATATTTTTAATCATGGTTAAAAAGAATAAGAAATTTTGGGAATGAATATATATTAGCTTAGGAGGAATATGTATTTTAAGTAATATTTTATTTTTATGTTTCTTTACTCTTGCTCTCTTTTCCTTTTCTTTAATGTTTTTACCTATTCTTTAAGAAATGTAAAAGTGTCGAGATGGTTTATATGGGAAAAATGGATTTAAATCTTTAAATATAATTAACTGTTAAGGAAATCTTAACCAGCAAGAATAGTTTGAACTTTATGGGAGAAACAAATCTAAACAGATGATAGCACAGACTTAGTTTTCTGTCTCTCTCTACTGCCATCTGGGGGTATCTCTGGGGTCCTTGGTGCTCCCTGACCTTGGTTGTTTTCTTGCAGAAGTTTCATTACCAAACTAGGTAACATCAAACAAACAGTTCAATCCTGAGCTACAATATTCTCTTCTAAGGGTTCTCTAGTCAGCATTTGTTCCTGTGCCTTAGAAAAAGACAACTGCTTGGGCTAGTCCCCTGCAGGATATTTTTTACAAGGTTTTTCAGAAATGATTTGTTATTGTTTTCTTCTTTCCAGGACTGAATCTGCCCCAAGGTCACCACCTAGTTTCATGCTTCAAGTGGGACTAGAATTCTGTCTCCTGGTTTCTAGCCTGGGATCTTGCTGGTAGCAAGTAATCAGGAGTCTGGTAATCCCTTTTCCAACTACTGTATCACATTTTATTAAAAGGCATAAACTTTTACAAAAGGCATAAACTTTTACAATTCCATTTGACCTGATAAAGTGAATTTAGCTTACAAAAATTTATGCCTCTCACTAAAATGTATTACCATAGTTGGAAAAGGGCCATCAGCTTTCTCTGAGGTTCATAAACCTGCCTCCTTGAGGCATACCTAAGTCTGTTTCTCAAAACATATGCTAGCCTTTCCAAGGAGCTCTCCTCAAGAGGTGTTGGATTCAAACACCTATCTTCCCACAGTTTACTGGCTGGGGAACATAGGAGTTGGAGTCTAAGATGTCTGGGGGATATGAGGTTGAAAGAGGCTGATGGACAAAAAAGGAAGCTTGAGGAAGGCTAATGGAGGCATCCTTCTTGAAGGATGCATCAGATGTTTGATTTCTTTAAACACACAGGCCCCTCCCCCATCTGCAACTATTGTGAGGGGAGAGGGGGAAGGGAGGAATTTCTCCTCAAGGCAGAATCTGTTTGGTCTTATTCAAAATAGGGCAGAAAGTCAAAGAAGGTAAACCATTCCTCCCACACAAATCTATGGATGTGTTTGTGTATCTACACACACACACACACACACACACACACACACACACAGGGAAGGAGAGATAGAGGTTTGAACAAGGTCCTGTTCTTCTGTGGAACTCTCTCCTCTTCAGAGTCTATCTGAATTTTATATTATATTTTTATTTTATTTATTTTAATTTTAACCCTTATGGTAAAGCTGTTTCTTAGAGCCAGTTTGGTGTAGTGATTTAAGGCATCAGGCTAGAAACAGGAGGCCTTGAGTTCTAGTCCTGCTTCAGACATAAAATCAGCTGGCTGACCTTGGGCCAGTCACCCTCTCCCAGCCCTAGGAAAGAGTAAGGGCAAACTACTTGTGAAAAATCTTGCCAAGAAAACTGCAGCAACTAGTCCCCAGGCAATTGCTAGGAATTGATAAATGTCTCAGTAAGTGCATGCATGCGTGCACAGACACACACACACACACACACACACACACACACACACGTTTATACAATATGAATTTGTAACATATTCTTCTGAGTTTACAGGTAGTTCTCATTTAGTGACTACAATTGGAGCCGGCAATACAGTAATTAAGTGAAGCAGTTGCCAAGCGAAACCATCTCTGTGCTTATAATCTTACTTCAGCTTTCTTTTGCCTGTAAAGATTGTAAATGTAAGGATTGGTTGTAAAGTTATTTTTTCATCACTGCCATAATTGTGAATGGTTGCTAAACAAGGCAGTCACTAAATGAGGACTACCTGCATTATTAGTACTATTTAAGTAGAAAATAGAGTTGATTTTTTTTTAAAAAAAGACATGTCTTTAAGAAAATGGAGAGCAATATTTTATACTGCTTAATGTTAGTCTGAGTTAGTGGTTGCCCAGTTTGATGACTGAGGAAGTGTTTAAACAGATGTTCCCCATGTCTTTAAGTTTTAAGCTCTATCAATTCCATAGTACTGGCTATTCACTAGGATACTTTATTTTTATTTTCAAGTTCTGTAGAAGAAAATCTGGGGACTACCACTTGCCTGTCTCAGCAATAACTTTCTCTTACATTGGCATCCATTCACATACCTCTCTTTTGTTTCTTATTACAACACTGGAGTATACAGGATCTTTGGATGTCTTTGGAAAAACGATAGAGACTGACTGCTACAAATTTGTCATTGGAAATCAGTTTGAGAATTCATAATCTTAGCTGCCCATTTTATCAGTTTGAGCAATTCTAAAAGCAGCCCTTTATGTCTATGGCTGAGTGAATGGGTTTTGGCAAATGCACATGTGGAAATCTTGTCATAGAAGATGACTGCTGCCAGAATATCAAAGCGGTTTCCCAGAGAGTAATGGAAAGAAAATATCACAATTATAGAAAACCCTTTGATATGAAATAGCTTTTCTATCATGTGTTCAAAAACTATTGAATTGGGTTCAACATATTTAAAATCAGGTTATAATTAAACTACTTTAAAAGGATTATATAAAATTTTATCAATTATTTTTAGCTTTTGCAGAAAGCTGGTACAATAGCACAATTAACAAAAATGTGGATTAACTGCCTTCTGACCATATCTCTCTTCCTCATCCTTAAAAGCTATTATGTCTACTCAAGAATTTCAGTTCCAAGAGCCAGAGCAAGAACAAGATAAATCAAACAGTCTATTCTTCACTAATTCAGAAAGTAATGAATTAAGCGATAATCCATTAAGGTAAGTAAGATTTTAAAAAGTATTGTGAAACTTTAAAATCTTCAACAGTCAAATGTGAATTCAAAATAGGTATCATGACCCATACTATCAATGAACAGACTTTCCCCCCAAAAGGTTGGTTTTTAGCATAACATTTACCAAAATCTACAATCTTGCACCTATGAGGAAATATGTAACAGTAATAGTAGCTACAACTACATAAAGTATTATCAGTGGTGCAGGTTTGTGCCCAATGCAACTAAAATGACATTTCATAGATGATGTGCTTGCTGTATTATATTGATCTTGTTCATATGTATTAATGTGTTGTTTGAATAACAATCTAAATGGTATTCTGATTTACAGTTTACCGTTTCACATAACCAATTTATGTTACAAACAGGCTATATTAGAGATTAATATGATATACGAATGCAGTTGGAATAACCATTTTTATGCAAGTTTGTCTACTTGGGCAATAGCATTCTGTAATATAGACAGGTGTCTTTCCAAATCCTCTTGGCAATTTAAGAAAATGAAGATATGCTGCAGTCTTCTCCTACTTTGCTATAAGAATAAAAATAGGCTAAGCATTGAATATTACTCTGTGTTTTTTGGATAAAGCTAGAAAGAATATGAATAAAAGAGCAGACAAGACACAGATAAGTTATTATAATAAATGAAAGTAGCATTCTAGAACTGTAAATTATATTTTTTAAAATTATGGATTGAGAGAATTGGTCATTTTTTTTCTTTTTGTATCATAAGGACAAAAAGGTCCTTAAACTGTTTCCCCTTTTTAATGGGATATGACTACATAAATCCACTGGACAGTATAAAAATCACATGAATTAGCTAAGTTTACGCCCCATGAAATGTAGCTCTACTTAATTCAAAGGAAACATACAGTCAGACGTGGGCTGTGGAAAAATAGATGAAAATAAACAAAATTGATAATGGAAAGAAATCGTTTATGACATTAAAAATTTATTCAATTGTATTGGGACAGTATAGACATTTTGTTAATAAAAAAGAACTGAAGTAACATGAGAATTGTATGAAATACTATTCTCTGCAATCCATTGTTTTCCATTGTTTTAAATATGATGAAGTAACATGGTACTCAAACCAAATTTTCTTGGACTAGACGTGGCATGTGAGTTGCTTATAGGTTTAAGAAACTCCATAATTATTGTAATTTGAACACTTTGTTATGAAGATAATTTTACTTGTGATAGAATAAGTTCTACAATATCTCTAGGTACAAAAACTATTAATGTTATACAGTAAGACATTTCATTTTTTTATTTTTTCTGAAAAATATAGGAAAGATTCTCCTAAAACACTTCTTCCCAATGCAAATGTAAGCAGAGGAAAGCCAGACAGCAAAGCCTCAAATTATTTTATAGCCCTAGATTCAACTATTGAAAATCTTCAGGAAAGAACACAGCAACTAATTGATAAGATTAATGAGAATAGGAAGAAAGACCATGTACTCATGAACAACTTCAGAGAAAGTCTTCTGATGAAGGTAAAACAGGAATAAATCTGGTGATGGTAACATTCAGGAGTTTTGGGAAACAGGAAATAATGATTAAAGTTAATTTTCCAAATTATTCCAAAGAACTAACCCAGGGGTCTTCAAACTTGGCCCTTTTATGACTTGTGGACTTCAACTCTCAGAATTCCTCAACCAGCATACCTGGCTGAGGAATTCTGGGAGTTGAAGCCCACAAGTCATAAAAGGGCCAAGTTTGAAGACCCTGAATTAACCCCTAAAAGTGAGAGCCTCATTTTTTCAAATACTCTGAAAAAAGGTAACTAAATTCATCATGAATGTATGCTGTACTTTCCACTCCTTTCACAATCTTTGTTTGTAATATTTCATTATCTTAATTATCTTTCTGCTTTTAATCAAAATGGTGGCAGTACCTTAACAACATGGCTAAACTTGAAAAAATGAAGCATGATCTAATCTGGTTAGAACATGGAGAGAAAATCATTAGGAAAATATTTGGCTGTAGATTAGACTGGTAAATCTTAAAAAAAAGTCATACTTTATAAACATTTTCGTATTCAAAATAGTTGTTTTGACTGTTCCACTCTAATAAAACAATTCTGAAGTTGTTCTGGTATTCCCAAACTGGAAGCATCTCTTTTGAACTTGGAACATTCTGGAAATATTGTCAAGGTCGGAACTGTTGTTTCCAGTTGAAAAAACTGAATTAAAAATGTTTGATGCTATTAAAAAAGTAAGTAATTTTATATATGCATTTTGTATCTCACCTTTCCACTGAACATAATACAGTATGCAATATAGTAAAACATATTTAAAATTCAATAATTAAAAATAAAAATATGTAAATAATAAAAAGCAATTTTTTCCTGGAATATCCTGAAAAAGATAATTAAGCGGTAGATTTGTGAGCATGCCAGACAAATCTTATTTCCTTCTTTGACAAAGTAACCAAATTAGTGGATCAGGGAAAAAATGTGGACAGTTTAATTAGACTTCAGTTAATTTCAGTAACACATTTGACAAAGTAGACCAGTTTACTTCTTAATAAGATAGAACAATGTGGGATAGAAAGGACCACTAGCAAAAGGATTTGCTGTTGACTGTCTTACCACACTCAGCATGTAGTCTTCAATGGAACTACATTTGCATGGATGGAAGCGTGCTATGGGATACCTCAAGGTTCTGTCTTATGCCCAGTACTCTTTAACATTTTCATAAATGATCTAGATGCAAGGATAGAAGGGGAACTCATCAAATTTGCTGATGACACTAAGTTGGATAGAATAGCTAACACTTTGGACTCAAGATTCAGAAGGATCTTGACTGAATTGAACACTGGGACCTATCCAACAAAATGAATTTCAGTGGTGAAAAAAGTAAGGTGCTATACTTAGTGGTGGGATTCAAATACATGAACAACCGGTTCTCTGTGTGGATGCCACTTCCAGAAGTCCATTATGGGCTTGGGCAACAAAAAATTAGCTACCAGTACTGCCGAAGTGTTGCGAACTGGCTGAATCCCACCACTGCCTATACTTAGGCAAGAAAAACAAATGCACAAGTATAGAATAAGTGGTACCTAGCTCAATAATAATAACTGTGAGAGGGATCTAGATATCCTACTGGACCATCATTTAAATATAGGCCAACAGTTTGCTGCACCTGCCAAAAAAGCCAATGAGGGATAATATCAAGATAGCATTGCTTTATACTGCATTAGTGAGACCACATTTAGAGTACTGTGTTCAGTTCTGGTCACAATACAAAAAAATGTTGAGTCCCTAGAAATAGTGCAGAAAGAGCAACAAAGATAAGGGATCTGGAGGCTAAACCGTATGATGAACAGTTGAAGGAACTAGGTATGTCTAGTTTGATGAAGAAAAGGATTTAGGGGTGACATGATAGCAGTCTTCCAGTACTTGAGGGGCTGTCACAGAGAGGGAGTCAACCTATTTTCCAAAGCACCTGAGGGCAAGACAAGGAATAACAGGTGGAAGATCATTAAAAAGAGAACCAATCTAGAATTAAGGAGAAATTGCCTGCCAGTGAGAACAATTAATCAATGGAATGGCTTGCCTCCAGAAGTTCCAAACAGTTTGAACAACTATTTGTCCAAAATGATATAAGTTCTCTAGCTTGAGCAGAGGGTTGGACTAGAAGACCTCCAAGGATCCTTCCAACCCTGTTATTGCTATATTATTCCCTATGAAAATATGACTAAACATTCTGATATAAGCAGCAAAAATACATCACAATATTAGTGGTAAAAGCAGGATAGCTACAAAGACAATTATATGCTCACTACAATATCAATATTGATTCTAAAAACTGTTAGGGCGATGCACACATCACAAAGGAATCAGAAAATGACACTTCATCTTTGACCTGAGCAAGTTCACCTCTCCTTGGGCAACCTGGCTTCCCAGTGATTACTATATTGATGCTGAACTTATTGGAAATACATGATTGCCTTACTATACTGCAGCCCACAGCTTCCAAGTCAAGCAATCTATCAGTTTTTTGAAGAACTCAGTTGTTCCTGCTTGCTATACGCTGCCTATTACTTCACCAGATTTTTTTATAATTCTATAACAGTTACTCACATTATGATTTATTGCAAGTGGACATATTTATTACTATTTAAAATCAAAAGTAGGCAAAGAAGTGTGCCAGGTTCATTTTAACTGTTTCTTTTTCCCCCACAGGTTTCAAGCTTGGCAGAAAAATTGGAAGAAAGTGTATTTCCTGTTTATGACCATAATAACAAGCTTATTCAGGATAAGCTGCAAGAGCTTTCTGAGATCATGGAAAAGATCAGACAGATTGAAAATGAACTCAAGCAGGTTTGTCATACTGTGGAAATGATGTATAAAGACCTGTGTGGTCAATCTGAATTGTAATCTTATAGGTTAAAAAATAAAATAAAGGAGGGGGAAAGAATATAGTAAGAAAGAATAAATACATAAATAGATCTGTGTGCCAATAAATAGTAATTTGGCTTCTTTGAATTGCAAAATGGCATCCAAATCTATTCTGTTCATAGGTAAGTTTATTTTCAAGCACTTTTTTGGTTCTTCATTACTCATTTACAAATGAGTCATTTTCTAATCCATAATCTCAATAAAATTACAGTTACATTAATATATAGTAATTTATTTTCTTTTCCAACATTTGAGCTATTACCAACAATTAGCAATCGCCCAAGCAAATGTAGTCAGTACATAGGAACATGATACTCATTAGTTCTCTCTTTTCTTTTTCTCATTCCATAAAATGGGCATTTTCAGCAAGGCAAATCCTTGCTTGGCTGACTTCCTTTAGTCCATTAACTGTAATTAAGCCCAATCAGGAAGTTGCTATTGTGCAATCTCTTGAATATCATCACAACAAGCCTTTGGTCAAGAATATGAAGTGCTATAAGGGCAGTTTAAGATCGTCATCACTGAGTGGATAAAACATCTATAAGTACTCAGCTGAACATCTCAGATTTATAGTATGAAAGTACAAGAAAAAAAATAACTATTATTTGTAAAGGTAATTAGGACAAAGATAATATCTAGTGCTCTCACTAAGAAATGAACAAGTTATTTAAAACTTGGCAAACATTCGCACTTTAAACATAAATGTTCATAAACTTCAGAAGTAAAAATAATTTGTTGGTATTTCTTCTTTTATTATGGTTTGTTGCAGTCAGCCAGTTGTTTAGACTGGATTTGCATTTTATCCCGCTATCAAGTCTTCAAGGACCTGAGACAGGCAGATGTTGCTTGATGATGTTAGAGGTATCTTCAGAAGTTGTAAGCTGTCGACAATCGACTGATGGTATCAAGGCCAATGGTGTTCAAGTAGTGCTCCAGTTGTTTTGGGATTGCACCCAAGACGCCTATTACTATTGATACTACCTTTGCTTTCATTTGTCACAGCTGTTCTATTTCTTTGTATTTTGTTACCTTCTCCCTTTTCTTCTCTTATATTTTGCTGTCTCCAAGTTCTGCCACATCTACTATCCAGACTTTGTCTTTCTTATCGACAATTGTTAAATCTGTCACATAATGTGGCAGGTGCCTGTCTGTCTGAATTCTAAAGTCCCAGAACACTAGCTTTTCCCCTTTCTATTACTTTCTCTATTTTATGGTCCCACCAGTTCTTGCTTGTAGGCAAATGATATTTCTTGCAGATCTTCCAATGCACCATTCCAGTTGCTACTTTGTCATGCCATTGTTTGTAGTTAGTCTGTGATATCTTCTTGCAGTAGCTAACCAGGTTATTATTTTCCCTGTATTTTTTGCCTTTCAGCAATATACTAACGTCAGTACTAGGCAGTACAGTGTGATATGGTAAACCACAAAAAAAATCTTTTCATATCTGTCCTTTTAATTAGAAACATCATACATTTTTATCTCTGCATTTGCATCTTATTTAGTGCTCCTTAAGTATTAGAAATTGATTTCTTGGCTCATGATTACACAACTTTTCTTAAGCTAACATCTTTACTTTAACTTTGAGTGGTATGTTGAAAGTTCTACTCCCAAAATCAGGGATAAGGAAGCTGTGGGGCCAGGATAAAAAAAACGATTACATTTAAGTTGTCTTTAAATATAATCATTTTTTCCTTTTTATAATGTGGTGGCAATATTTGGTGGTCTCTGTGGGCCACATCCAAGGCTCAGAGATTAGACCTCATGTCTTACAGCCTTAACTGTTCCATAATGTAACTTCTGTTTTAGAAAATAAAATTAATTACCAATTAATTTCAGTACATAGATTAAACGAACAAAACACTTGACATGCTAAGAAACACTTAAAAGTCATACTGCATATTAAAAACAGAGAATTAAGAATCCAAATATACATTATATATGAATTTTGATGATAGGGACAAATTTGCTGATTACACACACACACAGTTAAGAACCATATGAAATCATAAAATTCATAGCCAATTGCAAAATATAACCCAATATCACTGATTTTGGAAAACTATGAATCAATCTTCAAGCCCCACTCATTACATTTCATCTAGCAATAAGAACTTGGAATTGCCATACTTCAGTCACTGTTTTCTGAATTCTTAACCACAGCAGCAGAAGTGTAACAGCCAAAAGCTATAATAGTACTTTACTGCTTTAAATAAAGACAATTTCAAGTGTTCTCTTACAAGTGGCAAAACTCAATGCCCTTTTAAGTTTTGTCACTATACTTGTGACAAATACCGCCACTCACAGTCTCATTGGGTAGAAATGGGCTGTTTTCTCTATTTAATCCTATCCAAAGAGTTAAATAATTTTAAGTGCTAGTAAAGATGTGAAAGAACTGCTCACAGGAAAGCCTAATTTTCTCTCCTCGCTAGTATTAGAATATCAGGTTTCAACTAATCATTCTACACAAACTACTGTTGGAAATTCATCACATTAAATTTATTTTTGAAAGCACAAAGGGGATCTTATTCAAAGGGGCAAAGGTCTGAGCTGAAATAGCTTAACCCACCAACAAAAATGTGTGCTAATATAAAAAAAATCAGTCTTTATTTAACACTGTCAATGAAGGCACTAAAAACAGCAACTAGTTATGTCACAGGGCAGGAAAAGCACAGAGTAGGTAGTAAATTCTGATTTTCATCTTCTGTGTTTGCAAGTATTACAGGTTCCTCTTACACAAAAAGAGGAATCTTACCTGGATTTTTTAAAACTATAAATTGTAGATTATCCACGCTGATATAGATCTCAGGGCTGTGACTGGACTCTAAAGCAGTCAGCTTTAAAAATCAAATATCTACAGTTACTTACCAAAATAGTTTGCCTCAAAAACAATTAGACAATTCCAAAACATTTCCTAGACTATAGTGATATCCTTCTACCAATTAGAAAAAGTTTTTCGTTTAACATAACGCAGCACTTTTAATTTCTTTCTGTACTTTTGGTGAACAACAGAGAATTTTCAAATGCTTGATTTGTTTCAGCTTACAAATAATTGAGTTGAACTGAATAATTTGATCACAGTCTGGTGAGCAGAAGCAGTCGTGTTCATCTTATAAAGATATTCCCACGTCATAAACCATCTTGAGTGATCTTCCAAACTGGAATCATATAGAAGAAAACTGAAGAAATGTGTTTATTTCCCAACTGTGAATGCCTGAAGTCCAGTGATAGCTCTGCCAAGGATGAGAGCATGGATATCATGAGTCCCTGAAGGCAAAAAAGGGAAAAATGTTGTTAGAATTGTCTCTTTAAAAAAAGATATAAATGAAGCAAAATAATAGAACATGTTTCTAAATAACATGTTTGCTGGACATAATTACAATCCTTTTTTACCTTCATATGTGTTAACTGCCTCCAAGTTCATAACATGCCTGATGACATGATATTCATCTGCAATTCCATTGCCCCCTAGCATGTCACGAGCTTGCCGGGCAATCTCCAGGGCTTTCCCACAGGAATTCCGTTTCAGCATAGAGATCATTTCAGGAGTTGCCCTGGGAACATAGAACAAATGCTAGAATCAAGTGAGGAATGAAAGGGCTTAGGTGCCTAGGTTTTTCATATAAAATAGATAACAAATCAGATGTGACAGAAATCACATCTAGTGTAGCATCTTTTTTTAAAAAAAAAATTGGACAGGAGGACAAGGTACACAAGAGAGGTGAGAACTTTTACAGAATCAGCATATTGCCCCCAACAATCTGGATCCTCATTTACCAACCTCCAATGCTTTCTTTTTACAGCTACCATTACAGCCAGAGTTTCATTGGGATTATGATGAAAAAGAAAAGAATGGCAATAACTAACCACATCTTGTGGTTGTGCAATTTTTTTCTTCCTGGTGTTAATTGCTTTTAAAAGCAGACTTAAATGCTGTAGCATTAGGCTTTCTCTCTTAGTTGGCTCAAGCTTGACTGCATCTTCCCAGGAACTTAACACAGCATATTTAACATATGACTATCCTCTGAGAAATGAAATTGCAGCTCCGTTTTGTATTCTCTTAAGCTTAAACTTATCTCCTTTTTCTCCCTTCTTTCTTATAGCTTAATAGAGACCTTGCTTTTTGTCATATCATACTATAAAATAGTAGTGGGTTACTATATTTAAAGTATAATTTCTAATGTCTACCTTCCACACTGGGATAGTCCCAGATGTGTGCTAGCTGCAACACAGTGAGTAGATTTTTTTTTAATAATTGTTGCACACTGCAGTGCTGGGAGAAACTGAAAAAATGTAATTTGTGGGTTAAAAAAAGGAGAACAATTTGATCCTCCCTTTTATCTCTGTCTCTCTCCAGCAGAGAGGTACTGCTCTTTTAAAGTGTTTCCCCAGATACAAAATGAAGTAGTGTGTCCATTTTATCTTCCATTTGACTAAACCTCCCTATGAGGAAAAAAAGGTCACTATGCACAGTTCTGTCATTAATTACATACACAAATGTATGCCTACTTGTCTTCATCTTTCAAGCGCCCCAGTTGCAGACAAGCCTGTAACCCAATAGTGATCTCTGTGAGCATGTCAGCCAACTTCTTCTGGATCAATTGGTTTCTTGCCAAAGGAGCTCCAAACTGATTTCTAAGATGAATGGATGAGATAATTCAGCTAAAACCATTGCACAGGTACTGTAGAAAAAAAGAGTTTAAAATACTAGAAGTATTTGGAGGATCACCATGTAGAAGGTATTCTATCATATTAGAAGCTTTTAAGCATATCAAGTTAATCTTAAAGAAGAATTCAGATATAACAGGTGTAACAAAGAGCAGATGAAATAGAATAAGATCTTTTCTGTATTCTGTAAGATGCAAACTTGGAAAAAGTGGTGGAGACTCAGAAAAATTCAATGAAGAGAATTGAATACAATCACTAACTAAATATATGGTATGAGAAGCAACAGAATAATCTATAGAATAATTTCTGGCTACAAAATCCAGCCTGAAGTGTGATTTAGGACTGGAGATACACTTTAGTTAATATAACTTGAGAATTATAGAAAATTATGGAGACATAATCTAAATCTGAAAATGCAGCTGCTTCTATTATCTTCATATATTCCAGTGACCCTAAATATGTGCTCTATTACAAATGGCCATAGAACTGCACAAATGGAAACCATCCATGAATAATCTTGAGTAGTACCCTGGGGACCTAAGGATCTGTTAAGAACCCATGAAATATAAATAAAATGTATATCTTTAGGAATCTTCTTTCATCCAATATATTCTTAGCAAAACTGGCATTGCTGGATATCTTTTTTCAAATGTGAGTTCAGTCAAGGATGCTCAGCATGATCTTGAAACAAAGCTCATAATCTCTTCCACATGACTGATATCTTGGGATCATATCACAATCATAGTTTTTGTGTAAATGAAATATTAAGGATACCTACATATTAGTATGTAAGCATCATTGCAATCACATGCCATTTCCTGTAGAACAGCGGTTCTCAACCTGTGGGTCGGGACCCCATTTGGGGTCGAATGACCATTTCACGGGGGTCGCCAAACAACACGGTCCACCATTTTTTCCCCCTTTTCCTTAGCTTTGCTACTCCCTTTTATTCTATTGGCTTTTGAAAGCCAATAGAATAGACTCTCTTGAATAGAGTCTAATTCTATTGGCTTTCAAAAGCCAACAGGAATTGTCCAGGCTGTCTCTGCCCTGCTGAGCCTGCCAAAACGGTGCTGCACCAGTTGAGTAGTCCTCGACTTACGACTGGTTGGGGGTCGCGGCATTAAAAAGGTTGAGAACCACTGCTGTAGAACATCTGTCAAGAAATCTTGAGACTTTACCTATCCAAAGTATACTGCCTGGCTGTATGCATACAGAACTCAGCAGCACCCAGTGCTCCCCAGGAGATGCCATAACGTGCATTATTCAAGCAGCCAAAAGGTCCCTGTGAGAAGAGAAAGACATTACAATTCAGAGAAGGAATTTATTAATATTCCTTCTATTCCAAAAAGGCACTGATTTCCAAGGATCATCCACATGACTCGCATCTACCATCTGTTTACTAGCTGTGTGTGCAAGCTTACAAATGAGATTGCCCTCAAGTTTATTTTACATATTAAGTCCCTTTTAAAATAATGTCATAAATCACATTTGATACGACTAAGGTTTTTTTGAAGGAGGTTGTTCAAAGACAGCATAATATAAATAAATATGGAATACTAGATTTATATTTGTTCCTTAGTTGTACAGTAGTACTTATTGTTGCAATGCAATTTACACATTCATAATGAAATAAACCCAAACCTTATAGCTAAATTATCTAGAAATACTGTTAAGCTTGAACTAAAATGTATTTTCAATCTTTCTCAACATCCCCTGGTAATTAACTTGGACTAACACCCCTTGTAGCATTCCTGGTCACTGTACCATTCACATGCCAATGAGTATCACATGGATTGTGGAGAGATCTTACTGCAAGTCCAGACACTTTGGGTAGTAGATTCTCTTCAGGCACTTCTACATCTTCCATAATAATCATCCCAGTAAGAGAGGCCCGTAGTGAAAATTTGCCCTCAATCTTTGGGGTAGAAAGACCTTTCATTCCTCGTTCCAATAGGAAGCCCCGTATTTTGCCATCATCACATACAGCCCACACTACACATAGGTCAGCCATCGGAGAATTAGTGATCCTAAAAAAAGAGCAAATATATTGTCAATGTCTGGTATGCCTCAACATTAGGTCTTATAAAAATCAAGTTAAAATTCAAGTAGCTACAAAAAGGCATACTCTAGAGGGGAAAATACAATGTGAAAACCATCTCTGAACAGAGCAAAGCTTAGGTGGTATCTAATCTTCCAGAAACAAAATTTAATTCAGTCCTCTTCTCTCAAATCTGTCACCATAATTATCAGGGGCTTAAAGTTTTACCACTATTTCAAAATAATCCAAGTGTCCTAGGTTACTTCCCTCTTGTGATCTGCATACATGAGGACAAGTGCAAACCTCACCAAGTCTTGGAACCATTGAGTGTGTAGGTTTTCCTGGAAGGGTTGTACTGGGCCCGAGTCTCAATGCTACCAGGATCACTTCCATGGTTAGGTTCTGTAAGCCCAAAACAGCCCAGCAACTCTCCTTTAGCTATGGTGAAAAAAAACATCAAAAGATGAGTATAGCAACTCCTAAATTATCCTTCTCACTTCTTCACAAGTCTTGTTGTTATTTAAACAACTTCACAAGGATAAATCTACAGTGGTACTTTGATACTTAATCGCTTTGAAACTCATCAAATTTGGTACTCAACATATTTTGATCTGAAAATTTTGTCCCAGTACTCATTCTTTGCTTGGTACTCAATGCACAAGCTAGAACTTAATTTCAATTTCAATTCAGAATAGAGCTGGAAGAGTCAAACTTGTCAGTGTCCGGCTGCCTAGTGATTCACTAAATTATTCCTTATGGGAAAATATGTTTGATATTCATTGTTTTTGGTACTCATTGCACCTCCTGGAATTAACAATGAGTAGCAAGTTACCATTGTACTATGGATCCTAGTAGGCAAAAAAATTCACAAATTCTATCAATCCTTCTGGATTAAAGTATTGTATACTGTAATTTACTTTTAAAAAAGAGTATTCTTTAAATAAACAGCCAAAACTATCTTAATAAACAATATGATAAAAAACCAGCAGAACCAAAAAGAAAAAAATTGAAGCTGGTCTAAAGCTGGTCTAAGCAGAGCCAAACCAGAAGATGGAAGGAAAGTACTGGGAAATGGGGAAAGAATGAAGTAACAATTAACTAAAACATGAAATTAAAATATAATTTTAATGGGTAAAATAGAATAGATAAACTGTAAAAATAAAATTATTAGTGTTAAATAAAAAGTTTTTTTTAAAAAAACCTCAACCAAATTCTAATTGAAGGATGAGAAGAACCTGGAAAAGAATTACTTCACTGTTTTACTATAAATGCCAAAAGTGAAAAAAGGAAGATATTTGGGATATTCAAGGAAACAAAAAAGTAACACTACTGACTTCTATGTGAATAAAGGAGATAATTATAATTTTGTCTTGTGCAAATTTTAATTGTTATTTCCAAAGCTGGCAAATCAAAAGACTGTAACTAGGAAATTTTCTAAAATACAAAAGATAGAATAAAAATAGATAAAAAGGAGATAATTTCTAGTACATACTAGAACTCCTCTAAAATATTTTTTAATAATCAAATGTAAGAACATTAATATGATCTGCGAAGCATACGTTTTTAGGACATACAGAATGCTGAGATGTCAGCTGGCTGGATAGGAGAAGATAAAATTGGTTCTCTTTGGGATTTGGGCAAGTTTAAATATGATGTGAATGTACATGCATACACATGTATGCATGTTTGTGTAATAATAATAGCACAAGCGATAAAAACATACCAATGTTGGTATAACTACAGAATAAACTTCTGCATTCAGTCTTCTAAACTAAACACACACTCGACCTTGTGTTTCTCTCGGGGCAATGGAGACATGATCTGGAATTAAGGGGAATAGAGATCTCGCCCTTGTCATGGACAGATAATTTCCTATTGAGGCTGGACTTCAGAGCATCACTCCCCCATCGCAGGCAGAGGGAGCCGACTAGTTGGTTCTGCCCCAGGCGCCTAATGGACCCAGATCAGTTCCAGGAGGAGATTGGGGAAATACCTGACTCCCTTGTCCACAACTCATCCGGGTCCCTGGTTGCGGCCTGGAATGAAGCGGCATCCGGGGCCCTGGATCGAATTGCGCCTTTGCAACCTCTCTGTGGTGGTGGTCCCCGGAGGGCACCTTGGTTTACTGAGGAGCTCCGGGAGATGAAGCGCCACAAGAGACGTCTAGAGCGACATTGGAGGGCCAGTAACTCTGAATCTGACCGATCACTATTAAAAGCCTATCTTAGGACTTATTTAGTGGCGATAAGGGCGGCAAAGCATGTTCACTTTTCTGCACTTATTGCATCCGCAGAATCTCGCCCGGCCGCCTTGTTTAGGGTGACCCGCTCCCTTCTTAAAGTGGAAGAGGCGGAGGAACCCTTGAAGGGGAGAGCTGAGGAGTTTGTTCAGTTTCTTTCGGACAAAATCGCTCAGATTTAGAGAGACCTGGACTCTGACTGGGCAGTGCCAGCCGAGTTGCCGGGGGCTGGTCTTAGTCATGTTATCTGGAGCGAGTTTGAGCCTGTGACCCCTGATGAAGTGGACAAGGCCGTGAGGGCAATGAATGCCGCCACCTGTTTATTGGACCCGTGCCCCTCCTGGCTGGTTTCTGCCAGTAGGGAGGTGACACGAGGCTGGCTCCAGGCGATAATCAACGCCTCCTTGATGGAGGGGTCTTTCCCGCAACCTTTAAAGGAAGCGGTGGTGAGGCCCCTCCTCAAGAAGCCTTCCCTGGACCCAGCTGTTTTGAAGAACTTTCGTCCTGTCTTCAACCTCCCCTTTGTGGGGAAGGTTGTAGAGAAGGTGGTGACGTCCCAACTCTTGCGATCCTTGGATGAAACTAATTATCTGGACCCTTTTCAATCTGGTTTCAGGCCCGGCTACAGCACTGAGACTGCTTTGGTCGCACTGACCGATGACCTCTGGCGAGCCCGGGATAGGGGTCATTCCTCTATCCTGGTGCTTCTTGACCTCTCAGCGGCTTTCGATACCATCGACCATGGTATCCTTCTGCGTCGTCTCGGAGAGGTGGGGGTGGGCGGCACCGTATTGCGGTGGTTCTCCTCCTGTCTGACAGGTCGCAGTCGGTGTTGGCGGGTGGACAGAGATCGACCCCTAGGCGCCTCGATCATGGAGTGCCTCAGGGCTCGGTCCTGTCCCCCCTCCTTTTTAACATCTACATGAAACCGCTGGATGAGATCATTCGGCGACATGGGGTGAGGTATCATCAGTATGGTTCATCATTAGTCCGGGGGGGGGGGGCAAATTTACCTCCCTCAATGCAGGCACGCAACTTGGGTGTCCTCCTGGACTCACAGCTAAATTTGGAACAACATCTATCAGCTGTGGCCAGGGGGACCTTTGCCCAGGTTCGCCTGGTGCACCAGTTGCGGCCTTATTTGGACCGGGAGGCTTTACTCACGGTCACTCATGCCCTTGTCACCTCAAGACTGGATTACTGTAACGCGCTCTACATGGGGCTACCCTTGAAGAGCGTTCGGAGGCTACAGTTGGTTCAGAATGCAGCCGCGAGAGCGATTGTGGGCGCGCCAAGGTACGCCCACGTGTCACCTATCTTCTGCGAGCTGCACTGGCTTCCTGTGGGTCTCCGGACGCAATTCAAGGTGTTGGTTATCACCTTTAAAGCCCTTCATGGCATAGGGCCAGGTTACTTACAGGACCGCATACTGCCGCACAGTTCCCAGAGACCGGTGAGGTCCCATAGATTGGGCCTCCTTCAGGTCCCGTCGGTCAGACAATGTCGGCTGGCGGGGCCTTGGGGAAGGGACTTTTCTGTGGTGGCTCCGACCTGGTGGAATCAACTTCCCCCCGAGGTTCGAACTACTCCCACCCTGCCGGCCTTTAAGAAAGCTGTTAAAACTCTCCTGTTCCGGCAGGCCTGGGGCTGATATCCCCGGGGGGGGGGATATGATCGGACACGCTGTATGATTGTATTATTTTATTGTTAGATTATTGTTTTAATTTTGTATGCCGCCCTGAGTCCCTTGGGATTTGGCGGCATATAAATAAAATTAAATAAATAAATAAATTAACTCACCCAGGCCTGGCAAATATTTCTGCTTTTGCTCTTCTGTCCCATATGCATATATAGGATGCATCACCAAAGATGACTGAACACTCATGACTGACCGATAACCACTGTCTACCCTCTCAATCTCCCTGGCCAGGAGTCCATATGCAACATAAGTGGTCCCCGCACAGCCATAACCTAAGGCAAAAGAATGGAGAATTAATCATAAACCCATCTGTGTCAAGAAATCAGTTGTAACCCTCTGAGCTAACTCTCCTGAAAGATCCTATCTGCCAAATATTTAGAAAGAAACAAGAAAATAAAGGGAATAATTTATTTTAGCAGAGTAGTGTCCTAATACTCCAAGAAGCCTCAAAATGTATTTTATATCTTACAGATATAAGGTAATTGTTACAGCTTCAAAGTTCCTAATATAAACTAAAATCAAGTTTTACTAAGTCTCTAAAACTAGAAACCCTAATATTTCAAATATGATAAATGATTGGCAATTTCTAAATCTGGATTTTAAAAGTTTGTATTTTAATTTTTGTAGTCAAGCATTTCACAATTCATAACAGGGCATTTAAAAACAAAATCTAATATTTAATTCTGCAAGATAAGCCACAACCAGACTAGTAGCACAACCAAAATACATCATATTGTTACTTTTCAAAACACTTCAAAATATACTTCCCATATTCTTTCATTCATTGATTTTAACTATATTTCTCTTATAGGACAAATAAAAAATATTAAATAATAAATTAAATTGTAGATAAAACTTTGAAGTCACTGACTGAATACAAATGCAAACCAGCAGAAACAAAGAACTGATCAGTCAAATAAAAGAGGTATACAAATACCTAGAAGGTGATGGAGATGATTTATCAAATACTTAAACTACAGCTGAAATGGAGACATGATAAATTTTGAACTTCTCCTCCCAAGAAACATGAAAAAGTTCTGAAAAACCCTCCATTTCTGCTACAGATATAATGGGCTCACCCACGTCATGAAAAATGTTTAACAATACCTTTGATGGTTGGGCCCAAGACACCAAGAGTCCCCATCTCTGACACAATTTCCCGGTGAAAGACTAGAATGAAAATAGAAGATAATAAAAGAATGTAATTTATAACATTATAAGCAAAACCTACTGTAAGAAATATGCATAAAGTATCTATATTTCTATATTTCTCAGAAGCCTGGTATGCAATATAGAGACATGTTATAATACTGACAAGTAACTTTGATCATTACTAGAGCCCCAAAGTCAGCAATTACTGAATTTACATTAAAAACAGTATTCCATTTTAATAGCAATAGCACTTAGACTTACATACCACTTCATATGTCTATGGAGATTCTCAGTCATCCAGATGATGGTTGTCCCAAAGGCAACTGGACTTCGTTTTTTGTTGAAGATGTTTCGCTTCTCTTCCAAAAAGCTTCTTCAGCTCTGACTGGATGGTGGAGAATGGAAGGATTTGTACTCCTTGCAGACAGCTGGTCATTTGCATTCATTTGCTGTCTGCAAGGAGTATAAATCCTTCCATTCCCCCACCATTCAGATAGAGCTGAAGAAGCTTCTTGAATAAGAAGCAAAACGCCTTCAAAGAAAAACAAGAAAGTCCAGTTGCCTTGTGAAATACCACTTGGGAATACCATTTCATAGTGCTTTATAGCACTTTCTAACCATTTTATAGAGTCAGTATATTGCCCCCAACAATCTGGATCCTTATTTTACCAACCTCAGAAGGATGGAAGGCTGAGTCAACCTTGAGCCAATCAGGATTGAACTCCAGGCTATGGGCAGAGTTAGCCTGCAATCCTGCATTCTAGGGCAGTATGGTGGCTCAACGGTTAAGACACTGGGCTTGTCAGCTAGAAAGCCGACAGCTCAGGTTCAACATCTGAGTGCCACATGAGGTGAGCTCCCATCCTTGCTCCAGCTCCTGCTAACCTAGCAATTTGAAAGCATGCAAATGCAAGTAGATAAATAGGTACCACTTCAGTGGGAAAGTAACAGTGCTTCATGACATCATACTAGCCACATGACCATGGAAATGTCTTTGGACAGCGCTAGCTTAATGGCCAAGAAATGGAGATGAGCACCACCCCTACAGTCAGCAACAACCCCTACAGTCACCACCCCTACAGTAAAATCTGCAGGGATCCCTACCTTTACTGCATTCTAATCACTATGTCACCACAGCTCTAAGGGCAGGTAAGATTGTATATGAAATAACACAGACAAAATGTATATTCTTTCAAGTGAGTCTTGACTCCTAAGTCTACATTAGTTCATGCAGCTTTCTTGGCAAAATTTTCAGAAATGGTTTGCTTTCATCATCTTCCTAGGACTGAGTGTGAGAGAATAGCCCAAAACCACTAAGCTTACTTTATGCTTAAGACAAGATAAAAATAAGGCAGGATCTCCTGGTGTCTTTCATCATTACACCAAACTGGCTCTCATTGATTTATACCCACATATATTTTCATTTCTGATACCTAGATAGGTGTCATTTTCTGAGAACATGAATATCTGAAAGGAAATCAAAGTACACTTAACTCAGAGATACTGTCACTCCCTTTTGAAAATTGATCCCAAAGGTGCCTTTTCACGAGGCAAATGGACTTTGTTTTTCTTCGAAAACATTTCACTTCTCATCCAAGAAGCTTCTCCAGCTCTGACTAGATCAGTGGTTCTCAACCTTTTTAATGCCGCAACCCCCAACCGGTCATAAGTCGAGGACTACTCAACCGGTTGTAAGTCGAGGACTACTCAACTAGTGCAGCACCGTTTGCAGAATGGGACTTTTGGCGGGCTCAGCAGGGCAGAGACAGCCTGGACAATTCCTATTGGCTTTTGAAAGCCAATAGAATTAGACTCTATTCAAGAGAGTCTATTCTATTGGCTTTCAAAAGCCAATAGAATAAAAGGGAGTAGCACAGCTAAGGAAAAGAGGAAAAAAATGGCGGATTGCGTTGTTTGGCGACCCCCGTGAAATGGTCGTTCGACCCCAAATGGGGTCCCAACCCACATGTTGAGAACCACTGGACTAGATAGTGGGGAATGGAAGGATTTATACTCCTTGCAGATAGCTGGTCATTTGCATTCTTTTAGAGAATCATTGAGGCCACCTGGAGATTTATGTGTCACCAGAGTCACCCGAGTAGTACAAATGAGTATGGAGCTTCTTGGAATTGCTGAAAGGACTGTGTTGTAGAATGAAGATAGATGTCGTATCCCTCTTCCTCTGTTGAGAGAGGGCTGTTCAATTTTGACATAGATGGCCTCTTTGACCCCTTTGACTCCTCTTTCAAACCAGTGGTTCTCTCTGAGCAAAATGTCTTTGAAAGAGTGGCCTTTGTCTTTTAAATGAGATGGACTGCTGAATCTTGTCCTGATGGGTTTGTTCTCCAATGTTGTGCCATACATTTTTGAAGTGGTTGTTTTGTTTTTGTGGGTTTGAAGTGTGCACGTATGTTGTGTTAGCTGAAAATCCTCCAGAGCTTTTCTGATATTCCTGCAATGTATGGAATGACAACGTTGTTTCGTTTATTGTTTTCTTCTTTGTCTGTAAGGAGAAGCATCTGCTGGGTCTTCTTTGGGATTTGATGCAGGCCCACTTGGGATAGCCACACGTTCTGCGGGCTTCCTTGGTGTCTTTTAGTTCTTTTTCTTTCTCATCTTTGCTGGTAGGCAGACCTTCAGTTTGGTGGTCCAGGGTTCTGATAACTCCCATTTTGTGCTCTTGTAGACAGCACCTTAGGTGACAGAATGAACCTCAGCCCAGACCACATATGTGCCATGCTGGACCTCTGCCTCACAACTACCTATTTTAAATACATTGAAGGTTTGTACAGATAAATATGGCTACATAAGGGTTCAGTTGCCTAGTGAAAAAGCACCTTTGAGATAACTATGACCAGGATGACTGAGAATCTCCATAGACATTTATCCAAAACAATAGTACTGCCATCCAAGTCACTGAATAAGTAACTTAGCTATTTAATGTATTGGTACATTCAGCAAATGCCAAACAGGAGATTCTCTATTTCTAAAGGGTGAATGTCATGTTATGTAAAGCAATAATAGGCAATCTACTGCCCTACATATGTTTTGAATTTCAATTCCCATCAGCCTCAGCCCAGCCAGCAGTTCCAAGGGACTGTAGAAGCTCAAAGCCTCAAAGTATGAAGAACACCACATTGTTAATACAAAGTTACCTTCATTTCGATTGGCCATAAGGATCCTGGGCATCAACTTTTCTTGGCAATAGGCACGAAATGAGTCCCGCATCATTATTTCCTCCTGAGTCAGGAGTCTTTCTAATTGTAGGGCATCACGCCAGTCAAACTGGGCTTTTGGAACTGGAAGAAGAAAGCTAGAACTAGCCTGAAGAATAAAAGGACTGATAAAGAAATTCCCTCACCAGTATGAAAGGTACCATATAAGGTCTGCTGAAGTAATTGGAGTACATAGTCCAACAATTCTCCCAACAGACAGTAACATGAATGCCATCGAAAAGTTGTGTAATTGGCACATGCAAACCTGTGTAAATCTCTGTCTGCAAATCTATGCATTTTTAGTCCAAGTCTACACCTTAATTATTATACCATATGGTTCTGAAATATACAGGTCGGAGTTATATTCTATAACTATAATTGTTATTTATACACTGAGGTTGACAGCTTGGTGGGCCTTATTTCTGGGAACACACATATACAAAATTATCAATTGTGATAGTGGCAGTAATGATTTGTATCTTCTAGAACAGAATATCCAGGACCAATTTTTGAGGGAATAAAATATTTTAGTTATCTAATCAAAATCTAATCTATATCTATTAGATGCATAGATCCTTGGACACTCACATCCTTCCTCAGACCCACCAAATTAATGAAAAGGAATTAACAGATTGTGTATCTTATACAACAAGAGCAAATAGATTTCCAATTTTTCTCAATGTAAGGATCTATGAATTAGGAGGAATGAAGTTTCAAGAGTGATTGGAAATTATGAGCTCAGATATGCAGCTCTAAATCACAACTGGCAAGAAAGGAGAATCTGTTTACCTTTTGATCCATTTACCAAAGGCTTCCCTTCTTTTTCTGTAACACAAATGACAAAATAAGCCCATTTCTCAATCCAACTGTTTCTTTTGTGCTCCTTCTCCATAAAGTCCAAGAATCCTAAATAGGTTTATTTGTCTCTTAGCTGTGGCCCTACTATCTCTACCCTCACCTGATAGCAAAAATCAGTCACTGACCTTTTGGCACAGGTGCACTTGTGCTCTGTGCTCGAGTATCACAGAAGTTTGTGACACTGCCTCTGCATTGCAGAAATAGTCTGCTAGGTAACCTTAGCGCCATGGAGGATAAATCCTGGAAAAGGTCAAATGGAGAAAATTGTAAGCTTTTAAGTCGTGAAAATCACTGGAGTGTTCAACTAAGTGCAATTGTCCTCCTTCTCCCCCCCCAAAAAATGCTGGAATAGAAGAATGATGATACCCATAACTCAGTTCAGTTTTATTTATAACACAGAAGCAAGAATTAAACTAAAGCACCACATACTAAATAAACAAGGAACAGTCCCTAGGATTAAAGAAACAGTCAAATAAAGTGAGGGGGAAAATGGGAAAAGGTATTCAAGCAGTACACCATGGACCAGGTGTAAATTAGGAAAACAGAGGATATGCGAGGCCCACTTACATGAATCCTATCCAACTTTGCGGGAAGGGCCTAGCGCTCTGCAGAGCAGAAAACACAACTCGTGTGTTTTCTTCTGGGGGACGGGGTTATTATAGGCGCCTATTCTCCATCAGGGGGAAAAGAGAAGGGACCCGTCAGGGATTTCCCCGCTCCTGTATACAAACAAGTGCTGGGAGCGCCACTGATTTCAGGGTCATCACTTCAACCCGTACTTTAAAAGAATACTGACCGAGATTGGGGCCGATCGAGGCTTTGCTTCTTCACGGTTTGCTTCCAGCTTTTTCGCGGAAGACTGACAGGCCGGCAGGTGACGTGACGTCTCCTCCCGAGTTCACCACGGCCCCTCCTTAGGCTAATGGACTTCGCCTGCCCTTCCTTCTTAGCAGCGCGAGGCGACGCGCTCCTCGCCCATTGGCCAGGCAGAGGAGGCGTGTGGCCACGACGCACGCGGCGGCGGCGGGGGGGGGGGCTCGGCGGCTGGGAAAAGGAGGGGAGGGAGGAATCCCGAAGCGGCTCAGGCGGCAAGCGCTGGGGTTTTGCTGATGTGAACGTTTCATACATTTGTCTCACCGTTACTTGACAGTTTTTTTTCACCCAGTCTGTATTGCTGTTTATTATTTTGCTTGTTTGCCTTATTTAACACACATATAACACCTTTCAAAAGTTTCAAAAAATGTACCTTTTCTCGCTGGGCATCAATCTTGGTAATAGCTATGCAGCTTAAAGGAGTGTTTCTTTGCATAGTGTGGAGATCTTGGTTCACAGACAATATGGGGGTGGGTGAATGCCTTCGAGTCATTATTGACTTTGGCGACTGCCTGGGCTAGTCCTTGCAGTTAGGGCTTAGAGAAAATAACTAGCCCAAAGTCACGCTGGCTTTATGCCTCAAGCAGAACTACAACTCTGGGTCTCTCGGATTCTAGCCTGGTGCCTTAACTATTGCACCAAACTGGCTCTCTCGAACACTTTATCCTTTAATAAAGGTGGAATGGTAGCCTGAGCTTTCACATTAACCTGAGCCCTTTCGCATTTTTAAGGGCTGGTTCATTCCTTATGGGCAAATGCCTTTGAGCATGCGTCATTGCTGGCAAAGTGCCTCTGAAAGTGCCAGAAACCGTTGTTTGTCTTCATTGTAAAGTTTGCATTTCACAACATCTCCAGTTTTATCCATGCCTAATTTTGCTGGTTGCAGCTGGGTTGGCTCCGCCTTCATTCCACCTCCCCATTGGAAGCCGCCAGGAGGTGGCCGATCGTTTTCCTCAACCTCCTCCCCCCTTCCAAGTTAGGAAAAAAACTGGTTACTTACCGGTATTGTGTGTGCTCAGCCTGTAAAAATTAGGTGGTCTCCTCGTACTGTGCTTCTAGTGTGAATGCACAAAAGAACTGTTAAAATGGATTCCTTAAGCATAGACACCCTTCTACTATTATAGTATTCCATGTTTATGGTTACTTTTAGTCTATGCATGCAGGGCAAGATGTAAAAAAAATGGCTCATGAATAAAACAGATGCCTTTTTTAAAGTTATTTTTGCAATTCAAACAAACAACTCAATAGAGATAAATGCTTAGAACCTTCCAGTAAGTTCTCCACGGTGGATGTTGTTTGCCTTTTCCCTTTTTATATAAGTAGTGTACATATTTCTCTAGATTTCTTTTTTATACCTAAATCAGGAATATTGTGCAAGAGTTAGGGACAATTAAAGCTCCCTGCCTAATCTGTTTTATTTACTTTGCTAAGCAATAAGGGGGAACAGAGCATTCCCCCTTTTAAAACTCTCTATAGGAAAAGATTTGTTGGTTCAAATTCCAGAGTTAGAGTACAAAGCCACTTTTTAAAATATTTAATTTTACATTTAATTTTAATAGTTAAAAACTGATGTATGTTAAAGTGGAAAATATTCATACATAAGGGAAGTGATCTATTTAGATCCTAATTTACAGCAACACTATTTGTTAAATTTTGAGGATTTCACTAACCTCATCCAGCCATGACTTTCTGAAGGTTCCCATCATTTCTCTATTTATTTACTCTTCTTACATTTGTTTGCAGTTTGGTCTTTATTCTGTCTAGATGACCAAACCAGACCATATTCCTTTTGTGCTGTTATAATACATTTTTTGTACTCAGTTGATGAGAGTTGGACACCCCCTCCCCAGCCCAACTAAGAAATAATCTAGGAACACCCCAACTAAACTGGGTCAACAGCAGCCTGAGGCTAAAACAGCAAACACTTGACACACACAATGAGGAACCAGCTAGCAGCAATCAGGACACACACAATAAAAGTAATTAACACCTTTTAGGCAAGAAAAAGGAACTAACAATAGTCACAAACCAGCAAATCAAGAAAGACAAATTTTAACTCACCAATTAGAAATGGTAAGTTTGTTACCAATCAGAAATGACAAGTTTGGAAACCACAAAAGGGTATAAAAACCCCTGTTTAAAGATCACTCTGTCTAGCTAGCCGGGGACTCGAGCTGAATTGTCACTCAACGCTGATCCTCGAAATAAAACCTCTTTCTGGTAGCTGGCTTCACGATCTATTTCTTCTGCACTGCGCTGTCAAGGAGAATCCCGGCTGGAAGAACCGAACGGGGGAATTCCTCCCAACAATCTGGCGACCTACGAAGGGACTTCCAGCTCACCCAGCCACCGGACCGGGCCCGGAGGAGTCATCACCCAGCCGGCAGCGGACACTTTGATCCGTAGGGAAGCCTCCTCGGACCCTGCCCGGTCGGCATCGGGTAGCAAAGGGAGTTTTTGAGTCTTATGCTCGAACAGCTACCAGGAAAGAGGGTAAGTGCCACCAAATTTAAATCTATTAGGTTAAAGGGTCTGGGGGAACGAAAGGAAGAATGCATGAGTGTGTATGTGAGGCATCCTCCTCTTAGAATCAGCTGGAGCTCGCTCCCTCCGTGTGCCCTCTAGCCGCACCCCGACCTGCTGCTAGCTCTAGTAGAGCCGTGACCGGTGGAATTCGGGAAAGCAAGGGGGGGCACCGGAGCGTGAGACCTTCTGGTGAGAGAGGAGGACCGAGCGGGCAGAGAAAGAGAGAGAAAACTCTATTCTGGGCAAGCCAGGACCCCTTCTGCCAGTAAATATTAAAGCAGTAGCCCCGAGCAGAGGTGGCCGCTCACCTCCGAGAATCTGTATTGGGAAAGAAGTCTCGCAAGGAGACTTCGACTGTGTATTGGGAAAGAAGTCTCGCAAGGAGACTTCGACTGTGTATTGGGAAAGAAGTCTCGCAAGGAGACTTCGACTGTGTTGGGAAAGAAGTCTCGCAAGGAGACTTCGACTGTGTATTGGGAAAGAAGTCTCGCAAGGAGACTTCGACTGTGTATTGGGAAAGAAGTCTCGCAAGGAGACTTCGACTGTGTATTGGGAAAGAAGTCTCGCAAGGAGACTTCGACTGTGTATTGGGAAAGAAGTCTCGCAAGGAGACTTCGACTGTATTAGGAGAAAGAAGTCTCGCAAGGAGACTTCGACTGTATTAGGAGAAAGAAGTCTCGCAAGGAGACTTCGACTGTTAGTGCCCTTTAACATTGAAAGGAAAATCCCGTTATAAAAGAATGGGGAGTTCCAATTCAAGGCTGAAGTGGGTTTAAAACCCCGTTATAAAAGGTTGGGGAGTTCCAATTCAAGGGCCGAAGTGGGTTTCCCAGTTGAGAGCTTGCTCGAAGCCTGGGACAGGAATCAGCTTCCTGTCTAGGCTGGAATGAAGAAGAAGCGATTAGGGGAATTATGTAGGAAATGGGCTTTGCTTAAAGATGACCGCGGGAGACAAATTTGGCCCGAAGGTGGCACCCTAGAAATCAGAATACTAAAAGAACTTAGGTCAAGGATAGAGCCAACCCAACTACCGTACTGGTATTGCTGGGTCGAACTATCCAGACAGAGGAACCCGACCCAAGTCAACTTGGACCCCCAGCCTCCCTTAGATAACCCTGAACCGACCTTCATGGCCCCCTTGTTGAACAGGCCCATACCCGGGCGACCGAGGGGCCAGACAGGACACATTTTAACCCACACCCCTTTCTCCCCGTCCGATTTGGTTGTTTGGAAAAAGGATACTGCCACCTTTCGTGCGGATCCTCAAACCATTATAGAGACCATAAAGTCTATTGTAGACACTCACAATTGGATTTTGCTGCTTCTGGTCTTTCCTAGACGCAGAAAGGATCTGTTTAATTGGCAGAACCTGGAAAGCATGGGGGTTGGCCAGAGCACAGAACCTTTTGTTAGGGAAAAGGGAGAGAATGTGTGAAAATGAAATGGAATGAGTGAATGAAAGAATTGGATTTGGGCAACTAGCTGGTAAGGCCCTGTAAGCAATGCAAAGTTAGGAAAGAAGTCTCACAAGGAGACTTCGACTGTAGTGTATGAAAGAAAGACTTTGCTTAGGGCCTTGCTGGGAAACCAATTTGGCTAAATAAAGGTACTTAAAAGGGAAAATAAGAAATAGTGATTCTCTCTGTCTCTCTCTCTCTTCTCTATGCAACCACGTGGTATGTTTAAAATATGTGCCTTCCCTAACTTGAGTTATCTGAAATTTATGGTGGGAATGACTAGGATGTGTAAAACTAAGACTTCTGTTCGCTTGTCTTTGTGTATATATGTTTGTCAAAGTCTGTGCGTGAGAGGTAAATGTGACTGTTAACTGTTTCAAATCCAAAGAAAAAAGAATTTTAAATTCTGCTAGAAATTCTGCTTAAAATAAGCCACAAAAAGGAAAAACCTCACTCTGTTTGTCTGGCCAACAAACAGAGTGAAGAAAAAGAATTGTGTTTGTTTGTTTGTTTGTTTTCCTTTCTCTCTGTGTACGCTCAAGAACAGCCTTAAGTTACCATGAGGGATTGTTTTAAGTTTATCTGTTGGAAAAGTTTCACTTGCATTTACTGTATGTGTTTTATCTTTCCTTTTCCTGAAAAATGTGTGTCTATCTACAAGAGCCTTTTGAAACTCAAGTCTGCTTGTGTGGGGAAATAATTTTTTAAAGTTACTTTTCTTATCCTATCACTTACTGGTGAAACTACTATGAAGCTTTCTGAAACATAAGCATTTCTCAATCTCTAAAATGATGTGGTCTATTTTAGAATAAATGTTCTCCTACCTCTGGAAAGTTGCACACCTTAAAATATTAGGCTTTTAAAATTATTTGGAGTTTTCAGCATTTTCAAACTGCCTGCAAGTTACCCCCCTTCCAATTCTTTTCCTGCCCTTTGTTCTCCATACCTTTTGTCTGCCTCTCCTGGTAGACTCCGCCCAGAAAGCGGGGGGGGGAGACCTTGTTCTTGTATCTTTCAGCCCTGAAACCTTCTCCCAAGCCTTTGGAAGCAGAACACACAGACCCAGATGCTGCCTCCATCCATTTGAGCTA